AAATCAATAACTGTTGAGCTCATACTCAATAGATTTAGCTATAGGATTACTGAATGTATACTCCACTGAAAGGTTCATGACAAACATGAAACTGTTATGGATGCAGAATAATGTGCCAGTCATTATCACGTTAAGTCTAATGATGTCCTTGGACTATAAATGGGCATTCCCTATTGGCCATTATTTATTTCATTCGTTAAATATTGTACGGATGTTGTTTTCTATTTTTATGGTACGATGCGGTCTATTTGGGTAGTATATAAATACAGTATGTTTGAAATAGAATGATTCATATCTCAGAGACTGTGACTTACGTTCTGGACTCAACTGGCTGGGATAGACAGCGAAGCAGGGCCAATCGGGACTCTAGGCCGTCCGTACGTGTTTACCTATAACTGGATCGATCGATATAAAACGCTGCTTATCAAAACCTGCGGTCTACCCGTTACAACAGAAACAGTCAATCTTTGATGGCCAATGGTAAAGAAGAGTTCTCCTTTGAAAATACCACATCTTAAAGTCGTATTCTGTGATTATTCAGTTTTTTAAGTGTCATGTTTATCTGAGTCTTTACCTATTTTTCACTGTATTACATATGTTTAAAAAATTTACGTATATATCCAATTAGATGACTTAGTTTATGTTTAAGAAATAATTCCTCGTATTCAATGTTCTCTTAAACAAGACGACTTTGTAATTTAAACCACCAAATTCATCAATCTACACAAGACACCTCGCATCTAGTTATAATTCCTAGTTGCTTAACTTAAGGTTAACCTAAGGTTAACTTATTGAATGATAGCAATTCGATGTTGGCTTCTGATAAAGCATCGAAATGGATTCAGAAAGCTCTGTTTTACTTTACAGCCGTTAAGCATGTAATCTGAAATCAAAAGACATAAGTAGACTACATGATCTTGATCATAAGTATCTTTAGAGCACAACTCGCCTTTCGTGGAACAACCGAGTGGCCAATATTGACGTTAGGCGTAGGATATCCGGCAAAGATGGAAAATCTGTTGGTGAGGTTCTAAATTGTCATCGACTGAGGTGATCAGGATATGTGTTACATATATCTAACCACTACTCACCTCAAAATGTAATATTTTCCGGTGTAGGATTTGGTGCAAAGAAAGCTAATGGTACCCGAATCAAAACGTGATATCAGTCCATGAAGTTACTTACTATTGGTCTGAACCATGCTGGTTTAGTTTTACGAGATAACAACAATCAATGGCCGGAGACTTTGGGTGGTGTTGGTCAGAATCACTCATAGTGGTACAAATGTTTTCATTCTTTATCCTTCACCAGATGTTAAGCCCCGATATTCCTAGATGTATGCTTTCCCATTCTGTTTTTTTTAAACTATGTTCCTGATTTTCAGTCTTTCTCACTATCATTATTACCATATTACTTTGGTAGCTTTTGGAATGTTTCCTGTTAATTTTTTTTGTCACCCCGAAATCGTATGGGTACTTGGGCCATTAAACCTCTTCTCAAGGATGTATGTCATCAATAATTGACTGAATTTGATGTTTGAAGTACAGTTCGTAGAGTCCAGTTTTCAGAATATAAGATATCAATAGGGTATCTCAAATGTATCAAACTAATTAGCGTCAAATAAAACAAAGGAATGCTTGGAATTATACTGATAGGTACTACTAAACGATACTAGTATAACCAGTGTGTTCTTTGGTCTTCCTCTTCTCCACTTTCCTTCAAGATTACAAGTTAGTGATTACCTCGTGGTTCAGTTTGGTGACTCCCATAATCTATCACCTATCCACCTCCATCGTCTTTTCTTAATTTCCTCTTCATCTAAATGCTGGTTTGTTCTCTCTCACAGTAGGTTGTTGTCGATGGCACCCCACCAACGAACATTGAGTATCTTTGGTAGACAATTGATCATAAATACTTGTAACGTTTTGATAATAGTTATAGTAGTTCGCCAAACTTCAGCTCCGTACATTAGGATTGCCTTGACGTTCGTAATGAAGATTCTGACATTGATATTGATTGAGAGGTGCATCCGATCCTCCTTATCTATCGATGATGCTTCCTAGGTATGTGAAAGTTTCCACCTCTTCCAGGGCTTCTACATCACGTTTCAGTGGGTTGGTGTTCTTCATGTTAGATTTAAGGATCTTGCTTTTCCCTTTGTGTATGTTGAGCCCTAGTGATGCATAGGATAGAAAATTTAGGTCATCTGCAAAGTCCAAATAGTCTAGTTAATTCCAAGCTGCCCAATGTATTCCGTGGAGGGGAGATGAGGCAGCCTTGTCTTTCTCCGATCCTCACTCGGAATGCATCTGTCAGTTATCCTCTAAGCACGACTTTGCATTGTAGTCTGTCGTATGAATTCTGTTTGATGTTGACGACCTTCTCAGGTACTCCATAATGTCGAAAAAGTTTCCATATATTTCTCCTATCCACTGAATTATATTAGTAATTTTCATACATCTAAATTTTTCACAGCTGTAGCCACACAAGTACATGTATACATGAAAATAAAATTGATAAGCCGTACCAGCAAATCAACAATTTCTACAAGTTTTTCACTCTTTATTCTGATCAACTATACAGTTTGCCCCCAAATGCCTTGGTACGGCCGAAAATGGGGAGAGTCCGCTCTCCCTCTCGAAATGCTCTCACATGGCCACGCGTATACAACCACTGACAGGAAAGTCTTACTGACTGCCTTCTCGTGACATTACTGTTGTTTATGAATTTGAGAGGACAAAAGCGAATGCCCGGTGATTTAACCGGGTTGGTGGACATGGAGAGTCCACCTAGGGGAGTTTGAAAACCCTGATTCCAAACCAATGGTGCACATAATCTCCAGTATCCTGGAGGAACATATGGCGTATGAACCAATCGTTGGTCACCGGTTACCATGGGACTGCATCTCCTCACGTTGCTCCACTGCCCTGTGGATCAGACCTTCAGGTCGAAGGCTCCGGGTGTGGCCTCTTATGTAAACCACCTGCTTCTGTTTGGGCACCCGGGCACTATCACAGCCCTCACACATATCAAATGAGATCTGTGTGGCGCATATGTATTTGGTGCCTCCTTGTACCAACATCTATGTGTTAAAATAAATAAATAAAATGATATTGAGAGATAATTTAAAAAACTCATCCACTATCTCTCATTAAATTATTTTTCGGAAGTGGTTTTGAAATAAACTGAAAGTAATTATGATAAACTTCTTTAAGAAATACAAGATATGTTATATTAACCGATTACAGGGCTAGTTCCTACAGTTCGACGGAGGCATAGCCAGAGATGCACCACGAGATAGACTAATTAAAGAAATAAAGAGGAGTCGTAATGCAGTTAACCTGTCTATCATCTCCTATCCGATCTATGATGATTCCTTATTAAAGGATATGTTACCAGATAACTGAGCTAGCGAGTTAGTGGGATCCTCTCTTCGTGATTGGGTAAAGGCATGATCAAAACAATACGTAGCTCTGTTCTGTCAAACTTCATCAATAGCGGCCATGCATTAAATAAAAATAAATCATTTAGAGCAATATATCGTAAACCTAAAACCTTTATTTGTATGTTTTGATCGCGTCTCTTATACACCAGGAGCACTAACGAACGATCTTTATGTTAATAAAAAATTGTAACAACCTTACCTCTTCTTCGGCCAACTTGTCTTGAACAAACGATCCTATTCATTATTATTTCCCATACTCATTATTAGTTTGTTTTTGTTCACCGATTTTCTTGAATTATACAATTCGAACACTTCTTATTGTGAAATTTTTATAGTTTTTAATGAATGCTATTTTTGTGTCTATTTTTCCAAGTTGTTGTCCTACTTCTTATTATGAAACATTGTTTCAAGCCCTTATCATGGCACAAGTCCATAAAGTCACTGACAAGTGGACTGAGTCATGTCGGTAGGTGTAGACTACCTGGTTGGGGACCGCGAGATGATAGCAACCGATGGTTAGAGACCTTGAATGACATGGCTCAAAATCGTCTGCAATGGCGCAGGTGCATCCACTCTTTGTGTTCTCCCAAATTTTGACCTCCTTGTCTCTTTTTTTCTCTTCCCATGTTTATTTCACTGTATTATACTCTTTAAGTAACATCTCCAAACACTAATCTCTCCGATTACTGCTTATACTCTTATTACCTCTACCACTACGGGATTTGAATCGACCACGGCATCTCTGTGCTAATGTGGTGTGGCAACTCGAACTGATGTACGTACGTACGAAGTTCTACGTTGTTACTGACTGACTGATCATTTTTTACCATAACTAGTACACGTATCATCACACTATCAGTTTACACATATTTACCCATTGCGTGTTGTTATTTAATAAATTCCGCTATCATCAATATCTCATTAACTGGTTAGATTGGGTTTCATATTTTCCTATGTAAATACATATATACACACATTACTGTATATTAGAGTAAGGCTTAATAAAGATCTGATTGAAGACAAATTTTTTCGTATATATATATGTTGTTTAAAATTATAATAACTCCATCATGTTTCGATGGATTTGTAGGTCATTTTCTATGGAACTCTAGTAAATGAAATAAATATTAATCAAGAAGTTTTCTGATTTTCAGTGATTGTTGCTTTTTGATCGACTTTATTTTGATTGAAATCATGAATAGATCAATGCTAGAAGCACTGGATGGCCACTTCGTCATATTATAAGATACCTCAGCAGTGCGCATTCACGATCTCGCCCCACGAGATTCAAACCCAGAATCTATCGGTTTCGTGTGCGAACGCTTAACCTCTTGACCACTGATTCGGTATCCAACGCTGTTAATATCTAACTTCAATCAATCCATACTAGGATGAAACAGCCATCTAGTGCGTCCAGGTTTTCCATGGTAGTCTAGCTTTAATGAACTCATGAATTCAACTATTAAATCACTAAAAATCTCCACAAAACCCTCTTCTGAGAATTACTTTCTTTCTTTCCTATTCTTTTACGATACAAAAAAAATGAGAATATTTGCCAAGGCAAGTAAACAACATTTTTTCTCCGCTTCTACATTTCGCTAACGAAAACGAGAAAAAACAACAACAACAACAAATCAATAATATACAAGGTTTGTTTTTGTGATTTTCTGATTCCTTCACAAATGAACGAGTAGATAACTTAATGTTTATCTTACATAGACTAACATGGATTAAGGCCATATACATACATACAAATATATATGTATATATGTATATATATATCCATGTACATGTACAAACGCATATACAAAAACGTTTACAATATAATCCACTAATTATGTATCATGACATTCAATGAAAATAAGTAATATCAATGTTTAGAAACAAAAAAAAAGAGAAAGAAAGTGAGAGATCAGGAGAAAACTCATTGAAATGATGATAACAATGATGATGATGATGATGTTTATGACGATGATAATGATGATGTAACATGGACAATCAAAAGTTGTAGTAATAGTAAAAGAGTAATAAGCAATATAAAATAATAATAGTAATAATAATAATATTACTATTAACTATTGCATGCCAGCACACAGAAAAGTTCATTGTACAAAGTATAATAGTCCAATGTAATCTTACAAAGTACTGATTGTATGATAGATTAAATGATGAGAAATAAATAAGTTAAGAGAATAGAAAGTGAAGAAGAAGAAGAAGAAGAAGATGTGGAAGACATAAAATGAATTCACTTTGTAAAGAGAAGAAATATACTAACTGACTAGACGTTTTATTAATAGATTTAATTTACCAATCTAAATAAGTATTGTGTTTGGGTTTATGTACAATTAGAGGATATATATGTGTATGTATGTATATATATGTATTTGTATGTATGTGTGCTCATTTTAAATAACGTGTACACTAAAGAGAATTCACCTTATAGCACAATTGTTCTTTTTTCACAAACCGAATCACTAATACAGATAAATTATTTTTTTCTTTTTGTATTGATCATTTTGTAAATGCTTAAATATATATATATGCAAAGGTAAGTAAATTTAATAACAACCTCAATCAAACCACCCTGTCTCCAAATAAACAAACACAACAAACAATCGAATCATTTAAGACACTTCTGTTATATATAATCCATACATATGAACACACCGGTAACACGAGAGAGAGAGAGAGAACGAGAGAAAGAAACAAATTAATCGATCGATACAGAATAAATAAATAAAAACTGTAAATAAAATAAAACTTTGATTTACCTTTGGTAACAGAAAATTTTTCTTTAATCTGATTATGATTGATCTATAGGTATGTATCCGTATGTATATTCTTAAATATAAACTCTTTTAATACAGAATAATTGTCAAGTTAAAATAATCTATACTATTATATTTCACAGAGTTGAAAAATATTCAATTAAAATAGATTACTTCTTCGACCTTCATCATACCATGGTGAAATAATTGATTGATGATTAACAGAACATGGTAAAGTTGATAAAGAAGAATCTGATGAAGTTGATGAATGTGTTAAATATTTATTACAACTTTTAGTTTGATTAAAATATGATAATTGATCTTCATTATCAATTAGTATTTGTTCTTTTTCTTGACGTTTTAATTTTCGATATTCATATTCATAATGAGCTCTTGAAATAGCTGCATCTAAATCCCAATTATATTTATGTAATAAACGTTTACTATGTGATCGAGATACATAACCTTTACGGCATAGTAATTCAAATTTTAATCTCCTTGTAGCTTCTTCATAATCATAACTGCTACCTATTAATACAGCTTGACATTCAGATTCAGTAGCTTGTGGAACTTCTTTCATTAAACGTAAAACTAATTCTCTATGGAAATTTTTTAAAGAATCTTTACAATTTTCAGATTTACCACGTCTCAATTTAACATCTTTGAGTGGTAACTCGTTTGGAGGACATAAACTGGTGGATTCAATGTTTGTGTAACCGTCAATTGTAGAATAAATATCCAGTGGTGAAGATGGAGGAACACGAAAACAATCAGTTGTTCTACGCATAAGTGTAGAATTATCGCGTAACGTTTTGGATCGAGGGGGGTCGAGAAGCCAGTAGTGTGTATCACTTATTTTTACCCCATTTTGTATAATTGGATAAATGCGAACATTATAACGGCTATTTCCAAGGCTTAAAGCTTTATGTTGATCCAAGTCAGATGGAAGAGGGGATAACTGAGATGTGGGTAATTGTAACGAGGATGATACGCAGCATCTATCTTTAAAATCAAATTTTTGTATTGGTTCTTTGCCTAAAGCTTCTTGTTTTGCAAGAGCAGCTTTAAGCCAAGGTGGGCAAGCACGTGGAGGAGGCGGTGGAACAGGTAATTCTGCTTCAAGTTTAGCCAATATAGGATCATAAAAAATAGAAGAACAGTCATCCATAGAAGACGCGTAATCACTGGAAAGAATGGTTGTATTTGTCGTTTGATCATCGATACAATCCAAGCAGTTCTCGAATACAAGATTATCTTGACCATAGTCAAACTCCTTATCGCGTTTATCACGAGACGACTGGCTATGCTTACCACTCTTCCACTTCATCAACAAGTCTCTAGAACAACCACCAGAAGGAAGTGAAAGTTCAACACCAATCGGTGAAGCATTTCCCTCTACTGCTGAACACTTTGAATTGTTTCTTGACAAACATTTCGATCCTGGTATTCCTAATCTTGATTCAGGAGAATGATTCTTATTTGATAAACTGTTCTGTTTTGGAAGAGATAATGATCGACGTAAACCAGATAGTGGAACACAACTATTAAAGATTTTGGCATGTATATGTGTTGGTGACTTTCGTCTAGGTAAAGTAGGTGAAATACATCCTCTTGAATTCATTGAAGAAATAAAAGTAATTTGTGATTTATCTATAGATTTACTTTCTGAACTTGTATTCATATGGTTTAAGATATTTTTATTATTGGCAGTAATATTTATCACTTTAATTATATATGAATTTGATTTATGTGAATATTTCCGTGATCCAGAACGTTTACGTTTGTTTATATGAATATTTGAAATAATTTTCCCTTTTAAAATCTTATTATGAATATAACCATTTTCTTTATTTAAAGAATAATAAACTCCCATAGTGAATTTTGAGTTCGATTAAAAGAAATAATATTGCACATAAGTAATTCAAATGTTCTGTACATAGCATTCTCCTAAATTAAAGAAATCATGTGTAAATTACATTGATGAAATCACGAGAACTAAACATTGAAGTTGCTAAGATTGTGTTAACCAATGAGAATAGAGCTAGTTTGTGATTGGTTTATTCGTCTACTATTCTATCGGTTGATTGGATCTTTTGAAGGTCAATCAATAAATTGTCTCGTTTAATTATTGTGATAAGTTAACGCCCTCATTATTCATATGGTTAAAAAAATATTAACTCACTACAAGATTGTATGTACTTAGCATTTTTAGTTGATGATGTAATAAATATTAACTGTATATATGAATTAAAAGCACATAGATGGAGATGGTGGAGAAGATTTGTAGCTCAGGTGGATGATTCTGATGGAGTTTTGTTCTTTGAGCTGGATGGTTTGGTTGTGGAGCTTTCATCGTTCTTCTGAACGACATCATCAGCACAAACTTTTTTTTCTAGATTTTACACTTGTTGGTAGAACATGCTGGCGAAGATACTTATGGAGAAAATATAGTTGTTCTCGGGTGGAAGCCTGACTTTTGGCGAAATTCTCCCATTTTCGAACAACGAGAAGCGTATTACACTCATATGATTTTGAGATGATGGAGAAGATTTGTGGCTCAGGTGGATGATTTTGATGATCTGAAGTTTGTGCTGATGATGTCTTTGAGAAGAACGATGAAAGCTCCACGACTAAACCATCCAGCTCAGAGAACAAAACACCATCAAAAAGCATATAAATGACTTTTGGGTAGATCTTAATTTCTTGCAATTCATTATACTTTTATTTTTGGTAACTCGTAGAACATATCTGCACATATTATGATTGAGTTATTATTTACATGACCTCGGTCCTATTTATTAATAGGCACTAAGCCCTAAGATATTCAACAATCTATCAAGAATTGTTTGAATGAATACTGTTAGTTAGGTTAAAAACTTGCAAAGTATTTCTTCAAGATTGGTCCCGTTTATTTACGTTAAAATAAAAACGAAATGAACCAGTACATAGTATCAATTACTTCACTTAACTCAGAAGTTTCTTCGCTCATGAGGAGTTAGTGAATGATTATATTTCAGTAAGTATACAAAAGTTAATTTGCTTATTTCAAACTTACGCTATCTGTAGTGAAGACAAGATATGTCATGAGGCAATAGTCGTTCATTCTGTATTAATTTACGGGTGCGAAACATGAGCTGTCCAGGTAGAAGTTATAGGTAGGCAGGTGTTTTTACTTATCTTCGAATCATTCTTTACAAGTGATGATTCAGGAAAATCTTAAACATAGCTAACATCTGGTTACCCTGTAATAAAATCTTAATTATAATCTGTGGGTTGTAAGAACGTTGGTGAATGGGAAATTAACTTATGATCAATTCATTGATTGTTTACTGAATTATGTCAGAAGGCACCAACTTCCTTGTCGAGAATACTCACGATAATTCTTAGTACACTTCATCAGTAAAGTTGCTCACTCGCTAACGATACTTGATATAAAACTAGTAAACTTACTCATTTTCAATAAGGTAATATTATGACCATACACCATATTGTACAGTTGTCTAACCATTTGCCTTTTCATGTTTATGTATGTAATAAATTAAAAAGAATTACATATCATGTACTACATTTCAATCGTTCACCGAGTAACAATATCACAAAATTATATATGAGTCAAAATGAAACTACTTTCATCGGTATCAAAGATTCATCTACATTACCAAACTTTATTTTTAAGATTTTTTTGCATGATACTAATGAAAAAGCTTAATATTTTTAGGGTTGATACGTTCTAGTAAAATAGTCCGTATAAAATAAATGTTAGAGACTGAGAAATCGAGATTTGAAAGAATTAAACATATTTTGGTATATTTTCACTGTCATGCTGGTTGATAGAAGGGAAGGATAATAAGGGTAAATAAACAAATTATGCCTCAGTATACTCTCTCTCTCCCCATATATATAATTAGTCAGTATTCCTCACGTGTTTAGATCCCCCGGAGAATAATTAGACCAAAGATTTAACTAAGGTCATCTGGACACAGTTTTGAAATTCACCAGCACTGTGCTTGACTGAATAAAAGAAATGGAAGTCTCATTGTGTGCTGGATATATTGTCTAGAGTGTGTTTGTTCTGTATTGATGACATCGGATGGTTGTCATGCAACTTGGAATGAGTGAAATATAGACTACTGGATTCTGTATCAATCATCTAAAAATTTAGCAATCACGATAAAACTTAAACATTCTAAATTCTGTTTTGTGTGAACCTATGTGTGAACATTGATCAGTAGTATATATAATGCGACGAAAGTTCTTTCTTGTCCTCAACGATTTTTTAGTTAATGCTAGTCTGTGACAAAAAGCTAACTTATCAAAATAAAGTGTAATTCATAATTATTATTAAAACATCCAGTTACGCTACAAAGATGCGTAATCAAGTATAAGAGTACAGGATAATTTGTATCAATCATGTAACAAGGTTAAATGACTTAAACAAGATCATAAAATGAAGATCACTAGGATGTATACCACTATAAAGTCCCATAAGAGGACGAAATAGATGTCCAGTCTTTTATAGTTTCCAATAGTTGTTTAATTAGGATCATTCTGTATTGTTAAAATACAAAATTCAACAATATCCCAATTCAGTGGTTGATGTCGTGACAATATTGAATGGTAGAAAGAAAGAAGAATAATTTATCGACAAGATGGGACAAATAATAATGATAATCAATATTTTCATCAGTAATACATGTTTAGTATAGTATTTTGGAAGACTCCTCGTAATTCCCGTAGACGTCACTATATATATCACCCAGAGTGTCCAACCATTGGTTACGATATTCACGTGGACCCCAACCAAGTAGTCTGCATCTACCATCATGGCTCAGACTAGAAGTTAATGTCTTCAAGCACTGATGCCACGTTTTGGTTTGGCCGCCCCTAACTTTCTTCCAACGATCCCCAACAACGGTTAGCATTGCACGTCGTGGTAATCGGTGTTCAGGCATACGTAACACATGGCCCAACCATCTCAGTCGATGAAGATTCACAACCTCATCAACTGATTTACCATCATTCCCTAGTACCCTGCGTCTAACATCACTATTACTTACCCGGTGGTCGCAGCAGATGCTGGCAATATTTCTAAAGAATCTGTGGTCAAATACTAGTTGCTTACGGGTATCTTCAACTCTTAATTGCCACGTTTCGCAGCCGGGTAGTATACTCCTCCTTTTATTTACAGACGGATATCTCGCCTTCGCCATAGGTGACGTAAGTTGGCGAAAACCAAACGAGCTTTTTGAATCCATGCTAAGATTTCGTCAGACGCAAATCCAATAGGACTGATCAGACTTCCAAGACGAGTGAAGTTGTCAGTGCGTTCAACTACTTCACTCCCTATCCTTAGTTCAGGTGTTGACGCAGATCAGCCCTGAAGCAACAACTTGCATTTAGAGGGAGAGAAGCGCATTCCAAACATTCTGGCATTGTTGCTCAGTGCTACCAAAAGACTCTGCATTTTATGAGCGTCTTCACCAAACAGGACTATATCATCTGCGTATTCTAAGTCGATAAGTGGACCTCCTGGAAGGAGATCAATGCCCGAGAATTCAGTCGATGAGAATGTTATTTCCATCAATAGGTCTATGATGAAGTTAAACAAAAATGGAGAAAGTGGACAGCCTTGACGGACACCACTTGAGTTTGCAAAAGTAGATGACAGTTCGCAATAAGCTCTGACTCGACTAGTAGTGTTCGAGTAAACATATTAATGAAATGAATCAATCTATTAGAAATCAATGATAAACATCTTTTGTTTTGTTTTTTTCCAAATCTTATTCCCTTATATGGACAGGTATTTTATGAACTGGTTACAAGTATCAAAGTTCTTCATTTTGAAGTGTTTTTTTTCAAAAAATATTTTGTTAAATAAATGAAACTGACGCATTCACCTTATTCAATACACAATTATTACTTCAGTGTATAATATCTGTGAAATGGTTAACAACTTACAGTAGTAACTGGGATTTTAAAAAAAACAAAAAAAGAGGTATCCTAGTTGTGTATTTGAACAGTTTACTGCTTGACGTAATAAAGGTTGTTTGTCCTTTTTTTTGTTTTTACCATAACAGTTATTAGTTTTTTATTACCATGGTTCATTTTTTTAGATTGCACAGTTTAAGAGATTAGACGTCATTTTCTCTAATAATTATGAATGATCTTAGTTTTTCAATGTTTATTTGGTATTCACCGGTTTCGAACTTTAATATAAACTAAATTTTTGACTTTAACTATATTACTAAGTTGATGTATTACTTACTTACTTACGCCTGTTACTCCTAATGGAGCATAGGCCGCCGACCAGCATTCTCCAACTCACTCTGTCCTGTCATTCTTTTCTAGTTCCATAAGTTGATGTATTATTTTAGTATATGTGAGCTATTTATTGTATGAATTGAGAATGATATCTATAAAAACCTGTAAGTTTTGCTAATTATTTTTATTAACAGTATGAAGGCTTGTGGAGATTGTAGTAATTTTAATAGTTGGATTCATTAGTCAATTTAAGATAGACCAGTATTGAGAACCTGCAACCACAGTCGTCTCATCCTAGCATGGAACCCTCCAGCAGTGCGCATCCAACATCCAACAAGCGGGACTCGAACCCGGGGGAGAGAGAGTTTTCTTGTTCTTCAGTTCAACTCATACTATCATTCGATTAGCACACAAAATAATTGTGTGATAAATCTTAAACTACAGGTTTATTAAGTCGGAGTTTGGTGTTAATCAGTTGATAATTTGGTTATTCAATATGATTCTGACTTTGGGAGGTTAAAAGAAGTCAGAAGTAATTTTTTTAAATCTAAATTTCGTGTTAGTTGGTTCGCACCATCAAGACTTACGTGGAATCTCAAGTAAACTGTTACTCTTCTATGGATTTGATTTCGATTCACTTAATTTCACAGTCTGAGATTTTGTCACCAAGATACTTGGGCAACGACTGACCTGTAGGACTTAAATATTTACACTGTAT